GCGAAACGGCATCAACAAATTGGTCGAGAGATTGGAGGAGGTCGCAAACAATAACAGGAAGATACATCATTGATTAATTTATTATTATAATTATTGTTTTTTGGTAAAATAAATCTCTGTGAAAAAACTCTACGAACTTACGTTACAACCCAATACATAGTTCCTCGCTGTGCTGACGAATTAATCGCAGTACACGTTGGAAGAGGAGTATATCGCGCAAGAACCATTTCGCGCAGCCACGGGTGAGAATCATTCTCCAAGTGTCACGAACCCTTTTTCACCTGTGCGCAGCTGTCACTCTCCGGAGAGCCCTTAGGGAGCAGCCCGTGGACGGTGAAAATTGTCAACAGGTCCGTCGCAAGGATGTATGAAGTGAGAACTCCTGCTCCACTGGGCATCGGTGACTCCTAGTGAGGTGAAGTACCATCCCGTAGGACTGTAGTTTAAGATCACCGTTTCGCTTTGTTTATACGATGGACGAACATGCATTCCATTTTACCTTCTCTATTTCTTTGAGTGTGTCGTAAATCCCAACAGTGTTAACAATAACGATAATTTGGTTGCTAACACTAACCTCTCTTAACACTAATCCCTGAGCGCACTGTCCTGAGGAATAAGCGGGAAGATATTGAGGCGCAGTGTTACGATGGTCGTCACAGCCGTATCGCAGGAGCGCATATACCACCATGAGGAACCACACAAGGAAGAGGACGCTGATACCGTGGCGGAGGAACCTCGTCAAGCGCAGTTCCATAGTGTTTTTAGTGGGAAGATCACAGCGGCGCACGCTCCACAACTTCTTGCTACCGTCCTAGGCTGCCCCGTGGAGTATGCCTCTCGTGACGTTTAGCATGCCCTTGCAATGTTTTTTTAAGTTTGAGTATTTGAATTAAGGTATCCATCGTTTTCGTATTGACCGAAGGGATCAGGATTCAGACATTTTCAATTATGCCCAGTTCAGAGCCGAAGCAAAAAGTGTTTTAAAGGGCCCGCAAAACTCACTATGAGTGCCTCTATGAGTTGACGAAAGATGCCTCTTGCTTCCTGTTCTGGAATTCGTTTCATTTTTTTGATTTTTATCAGTAAATCTCCACCATCGCAATATTCTGTGATGAATATTCTGAAGTGATCAATGTCGAGGACCTGCAATAGGTAAGAACTGACAAGGTTGTGACAGGTCGAGCTTTTTACTCAAGTTCGTAGTTCAATTCAGTTCCGAAAAACTCGATCAAGTGTCGTTGCAAGTCTCCGTATGATTTCCTCTAGACAAGCAACCATGTGTTGTTGCATGCACTATAATAGTTAGAGAGAAATTTGGTTACACACGACATGAGAGGGAGAAAGAACGAAAAATGATTCATACTGTTTATTAATACGTGCGTGGAGGCAGTAGTCACATACCTCACATACTATCACCTTGAAAAAAAATGAAGAAACGTAAATCTAGGTCTGAGTCGGAGAAAACGATTAAATGCACTGTATGATTGAAAGTCGAAGGACACAAAGCACTTCCAATAATTGGCAATCCTTTGAAAGAAAAAGAAAAGTTGAGGCACGTAATGGAAACGAAAGTGGCAATGGCAGACGATTGGACGGCAAGAGTCACTCGCTTAGATTGCACAGCCATGTCCTATTCGCCGACAAAGACAGCATTTATAAGATCTGAATCAGCCTTTACGCACGGATACTGAACGGGCGAGCAAGTTTGCCTGTATAATGTATTCCGACACACCACTGCCAGGAATACATTTGGACCCACCCTTTTTAACCCTATCATGTTTTAGAGACTTGGGCCCAATATGATGGTTAGTTGGGGTAATCAATGCATAAAGGCAACGTCAAAGTTCTGCCTTGCATCTCTTAACTGCTGTTATTTCGCGAAGTGCGCGATTCGGAACCCTCACAAGGTTTTGAGATAGGGACAAATTTTTGGCCAAGGGTAGAACTTGAACCCGTTTCCGTACTTGAGCTATCCGGCCATGCTCTTTGACACTTGTACAACAACTACACCGCTTGTTTTCGCTTTCTCAATGGCTTTTATCCCGTCGCTTATCAGCACCCACACGCACAACGTGGTAAGCTGGTCAGCCAACATCTGTTCTAGACTGTCGAGTTGGAAGTTTTTCTTTTTTCCTTATAACTTGCTTTGACTTGATGATTTGCCAACTCTTGTAATTTCGCATTTTCGGATCGCGTACTGCGGCGAAGGCGAGAGCAAGCGGGGTAGTGTAACGGGTAAACAGCACGGAGCCCTAATAGCACAGGTCCGAGGCTTGAAGCTTGTCTCTAACTCTACAACCTTGTGGGTGCTAAGTGAGTTGAGAGGGGCCACGCGGCGGCGTGGCGCCTTTTCATGTCTGCGCCCTCTGTAGCGAGATAGTAGTAGTGCGCCTAGGTCTGGGAAGGGATGGTGAGGTTGTACTGAAGTCTTTCGTGATTCAAAACAAATTACCTCTTGACACATGTTATATGCTTGCATACTATAAATGCTCTTCTTCTGAGCCGATAAAACCCTATTTTTAAGAAGGGGAGGGGCTCCGGGGTGGGTGAGATGGTTATCTCGTGCAAAAAGCTGAGATGAGATAAAAGCTGAACGTCCAATTGGCTCACCCATCCCGGAGCCCCTTCCCTTCCTTGAATTAGGTGAAAACACGCAGTTATAACATAAAAGAACNGCGCCGCCGCGTGCCCCCCCCCCAACTCCCTTAGCACCACCTTGTGTACCACCGAAGTATTCTCTTATTGTTTCTAGCAGTAATCGGTCCACGATTATTGCCAAAACTAGCAGAAAGGGTGTTCAAAGACTGCGATATCAAGGCTTCCAAAAAAGACTACATATTGGCAGGGTCGTAGAGCTTAATTGTGTTTTACGTCCACTGGTGCGGCTTAGCCTCATCATTTCATGCTCTCTAATGCAACACACATTACGGTATTTATGTTTTTATGTCGCTGCTGACTTCTCGTCAGCAGCTTCCTTCCGCAGTAGAAGTGTCGTTTCAGTGATTCTCCGTTGACAGTACTATCAAAAAACTTTCTGTAGCAAAACTGTTTTCACTGGCGCCCAGTACTTTCCAAACTGTTCAGCCCAGAGGCGCATATTCGCTTAATTAGTTGATGATTGACATTAGCGAGCTAAGGCAGCAGATTTAGCTGGTGGCATTACGATATCCCCTTTCTTGTTCCTCGGTCTTCATCAAAATGATTATTTCAGTACTAGCGCAACGCGTGCAATCTTATGCTGTTCGCTTAGTTCACGTTCATCCGTTCTCATCGAAAGCGTAAAGTTTAGCACAATACTCCTAAACTCTCCGCTCATTCCATAGATACGTATGCTACTGTACTTGTAACTGAGCGATTGTAGGAATTAGCACCTGATACGTGGCTAGAATGCATTCGTGATGTATTTTCTGTATCAAATTCGTTTCGCGTGGTAGAAATCTCTTGACATATTCCGATTGCGATCTGTAAAATTAGAATTTGAAATAGTTCTACTAGTAAAAGTGTACGTGTAGTGCATTTCGTCATAGGATTTCTAGACTCGTGACACCTGACGCATGTACATATTAGGCAATTTGTTTACAGTGTTTCGGTTATCTACGCTGTTGTCAAAACTTAGGGACGAAAACAACTTTCAATTACTGTTTCTCAGCCAACAAATAACATAGCTCGATGAACTTTATACCATACCAAGAGGGGACCATTACGGTGTTGCACAGAAATCGGCTTATTCTGCAGTCCGAAATAAGACGAATAGATATGACATTTTTATTCAAAGGCACGGACAACACATAAGTCTTGATGATTCATCCCGATGCTTCAAAATAAGTGACGTGTTTCGCAATAGGGTGAGTAATCACGACGAAAAGCAATCCATGCACTGCAACGCGATCCCATACCTCCCGTAAAGCAGGTAATTAATTCCTGTGGTAGACACTCTATTCCTCTATCAGTGCATTTGGCAATTGTTGGATGGTTATCGGTGCATTTGGAAGCAAAGGAATGCGTGTACCCATTGCACCCCGCACCTGCTCATTGGAATTCGGGTCGAGAGAACGTGCAGGCCATTTCATTTTTATGCATGACAATCATCGACCACATCAAACAGCAGAGCAGAGCATGACGGTTAAAAATTAAGAGGTCACCAGAGTACGCTCGGAATAAGTACACGGCTCCATTCCTCATCCATCTTCGCAATGCTCCTGTCACCACCGTAACCGGTCTCGCGTATGCGCGGGGATCAGAGGGGCACAACGTCGGGCGAAGAGAATGCTACTTGTACCCGTCTGTTATTGTGGTGCAAGAGATAGCTTAAGGTCTTGGTAAATATCATTGCGTTCACAATAAAGCGATCATCCCTTGGTGTGATTGATCTCGGCCGACCAACCACTCTCCTTCAAGCAGCATTACTAAGGATTAAGAACGCCCTTTCGCTCTCCTTGCGTGGAATCGACACGGTAAGTGATATCGAGCTGCTGATCTACCCTCGTCATATTTAGACCTTCTTCGAGTTTCTCGATAAACTTCCCCTGTGCGAACTCATCCAGCTAGTCTCTACGGGACCTGTTGTTTTGAATGGCAGCGCTACAGCAATTTGAAGCCACTCTTGATGACAAATCCGCCTTTCATATCCATCAACTGCCAGAAATTGCGCGAGCAGCCACATTTTGCGAACATTCGAGCTTTTCTCTCAGAGGGATGTTCAGCCTTCTGTGCGTGAGCGTTATACGTCTGGAACTATGCTCCCACATTTCATTCATTTTCACAAACTGTTTTATGTTNCTTCAACCATTTCGTCTCTAAGTTTTGTACACCAGTTCACTTATATCCTCTAACCTCCAGTGAAAGATTTCGCAAGTCACTGCAGATATGATGGTTAGGCCTTTTCCTTTTTCTGAAGAGCTCAGAGCTCTTCTGTTCGGATATAATGAGTTGAGCTCATCTCAAATATCATAACACTCTTTATTCGATGATATGAAACGGATTGGGGGAACCCACCTTGTATCTATTATTTTAACAGCAATATTAGATTTCTTATTGCACAGCCCTTTCATGACATGAGAATATGAACCTTTTCCTGAATCGTGCTTATTCATTTCTTATTCTGTTAATACGTTCATCACGCAGTTGATGTTACAATTCAATCCTGGGGCGTTCTAGTTATACCTTCATAATCTTCAAAAATCACAAGGCAACATATCTTCTAATACTGAGAGTAAAACTTGCCTGAAGAATGGTCATGTGCACCTTACTTGCCGGTACCAAATGAGGCTGACCAACCGCCCAATGCTAACAGGGCTTCTTTCCGGGTAAGGTAGAGAGCACAGTCGGCAAAATTAGGGAAGCATAAGGTAAAAACTAGTTAAGTTGGTGTGCTGTACTGATCGTGGCGAAGGAAGAAGTAAGGAAGGCATATTTGCATATGATTTCCGTTCTTTACGCCCACGATCGTCCCTGAAGTAAATCCAAGGAACATTTCCCATCAGAAAATGTGCCCTTTAGTCTGCATCATTCTGAACAAGTATTTGAAGAATTGGACTGGTTCGAATTTCTCCAACGCTTTTGTTGAAGAATTTCTGAACCGTTAGAGTTGAGCGGAGTAGACGTGATTGCCCCCTCGTGAGAGCTCTGCTCAGAGCAAATCATGCTGTGCTAACAGTAAGTACTGATGTGTGAAAAGATTATGAGACTTTGAAGTGTGGATAGTACAATGAATTAGGTTCCTTTGAACCATTTCATTGTACAATCCAAAGTATGAGGGCATAAGAACTTTAGACGGACTAACCGAGAAATTCACTGATAGTGATTTGATGCTCTTTCTCGAGGCGACCGAGAAGAGCCTTGTAAGCGGGATCGTCTTCCATTGTTTCTGAAGTGTTTGATATTTTCCAACAAATGAACTGTCGTTCGAAGTCCATTCTTCTTTGTTTAGTAACACTAAGTGTATCAAAAGTTTTGCGTAATGAATTGGTCGTTCTCTGATCGAAGCGAATCCGTACAGAGCGACACGAACACCAAAGATTCTGTGAACAGAAGTCTTCGCTAGCTCGAAGAATCACTCAACGTGAGGAGGCATCAATAGCTGGATTCTTCAGAATTGGCTGAACCGGCTGTGAGATCAGGCCTGTCCAGTAGGAAGATCAAGTGTACTAAAATCGCGTGCACTGAGTCTCATAGGGCATTCATAGAGTATATCACTGGAGCTCTTCCCTCTCAAAGCCACGGTTACGACCGAGGTCTATGTAGTTAGCTGCAAACTTTGGTGAGAGGTTCCAATAAACTTCTTGGGAACTCGGGAAAATTTTTCTGTACCAATTTTTAAGGCAATTTTTTAAGACCACACGTTCTAAAGACGACACATCTCGAGATTCTAAGACAAGGCAAAAAAATTCGTTCGTACCGCACAGCCCCGATCTAGACCTTCCGACGATAACCTACTTTGCCCCTCTGCAGCCACCATAAGGGCAGAAATACGTTTCTGGAAAAATCTCGGAAAAATTCCGTTCCCTTTTAAGCTCTATGTCGCGGGACTTTTAGAAGCGCTGCTTCCACACCCTTAGAATCTCTAAAAGAAGTAATTGCTATGTTGATCATAATGTTATATTCTGGCTGTTACGGGTGCAGGATACATGACAGAATGTCGCTTCGTGAACGAATTTATGTCCATTAATCCATTCCATTACGCACACTTAACCTAGAATCCCGACTAAAATACAAGATCTGAATGACCCTGCAGAAGAAGTTCAAAGCTATCCACGGGTGTTGTTCGCGTTGGAACGATGAGAAGGTAACAGGAAGGCGAAGTGAACTAATTTGAGGTCGGTTCTGATGTGCCCAATGTATGGTTTCTTTTGAAGTATTTGGAGTACATGTAGCTTATAATTATACTTATGTATATACTTATACGGCTCGTCTTCACTCATGTGCGAGCACCAACAACAATCATTCGCTTTTGTCTTTCGCGATCGCCATTCACGGTAGACTCAGGATTCGACGAAGATGGCGATGTGAGGAGTCGTTCAGCTGCTGTCGCAGCTGTTTCACGTGATCGACAAGCCCATACCCCCATCTCGCAGCAGTCCTACCCTTACCAGATAAAGATCCTGGTTAGATAAAGAAGATCCTATATGAGCGCACTCGACTGTTCTTCTTGTCCATCTGTCATCATGTCTTCTCATTATATGTCCAATGGGGTCGTCAGCAAAGCTGCGAGAAGCGCATGAAGTTCGTAGCCTCCTGCGCTGAGTAGGTCGGCTGAGATCTTGTCGGGGCCTGGAATTTTGCCCGTTTTCATGCTCGTGATCGTAACTCTCACCTCCGTAGGAAGGATTCGAGGTGCTGTTCGGCCAGTAGGGATTTTTGGTTTCCGCACGTGTGTCGTGGATCGGTACAGGTTGGTGTAAAACCTCTGTATAACTTCCTCCATCTCAATTCTCGATGTTGTAGTTGTTCCGTCCTTCTTCTTCAAACACGAAAGTAGAATACTGTGGTCCTGGAGATCCCACGGAATTTTCTTAGACTAGTTCTGTTCAAGGCTGCCCCCAGTAGCCTCATCTCTCCCTGTGAAGCTGAAGGTCTCGCTGCACTGCTTGTATGCAGCTGATATTCGCTTGCAGCCTTTCAAGATGTGTGGCGTTCTGGTCAAGCCTCAAGTTTCTTCTTGTTCTGAGAAGATCCTTCGTCGCATCTGAAGTGCGTGCGGATGTACCCACTCGCGGAAGCTCGGCCTGTTCAGCAGAAGTGAGGGGACCCCGAACCAGTGCGTTTTAGTCTTCTGTCAGGTCATCCCAAAGCTGCCAGTCATATCGGGACGAGACGTCATTCAGAACATCTCCGTCGTATACAACGTGCTTCGAGCTCTTTGCGCGATATTGAAAGATCTTTCCCAGCTTGTGACTGAATCTGATCTTAGCGCGAAGGAGTCGATGATCGCAACCGCTGCAAAAAGATGGTACCACACCAACATCTAGTGAGCACCACTTACTGTTTGTTAATATGTGGCCCAGTTCAGCATGAGTTGTACCGTTTGGAGACTCCCATGTCCAGCTGCAATGTTCCTTCTTTTGGAAGACAGAATTTCCATGGAGGATTCGAGCCGCGGACAGGAGTTGACTCGCGAGCGAACAAATCCGCGAAGAAGCCATCGTAGCCAGAATCCGATAATGACGCAGTTGGTTCACATAACGGAGTGGCACAGAGGGAAATATGGGTTGACATCGAGTTTACTAGCTTCAAGTGTGTGTGTCGATGTGTGTCAACTGTGCGTGTGCCTGCCGGTGTGTCCGTGTGCGTGTGAAGTGTCGGTATGTGTGTATTCGACTGGAAAATCACAATTCTTGCCCTCCTAAGCCTAGAACACTTCAACTGAAAGAGGATACAAGTGGCAAAATGTGAACACTGGTGGTAAAGGATAAGAAGTAATATCAATTGATAGGGACTGATAAGAAGGCTAAGGAGGATGCTTTTGCCCTTCTGTTACATTAGAACCCTACTTTCGTAAGCGATGTGGGGTGTAAGGAGAGGGCAGACGGTTGTCTCAGGGACTGATAACATTTTATAGATACTGAAAGAGAGCCTTAAAATGCAAGAGACACTGGCTCCGTTACGACCTTTTTATTTTCTACGAAATCCCGACACATTCGAGTGAGTCGTGAAGGGACCGTAGGTGGTTGCTGATAAGGGTTGATAGCAACTGATAGAGGTTGATAAGGAACCACTGAATGCAAGATCTTTTGATTCAGTGGAGTCATGGAATCTTGGAACTCCAGGGAGTGACGCAGAATTCGTCGGGATCACGGACGGATGTTTGGTGACGAAGACCAATAACATTGAAAGCGCAGATAATTGCCACTGATCGACTTTCCTATGACAACATGACAACGGAATATTATTCCTTCGGTGTATGATATGGAGGGGGTGGAGGGAGATTACAGAAAGTGGTAATGAATGATAAAGGCTGATAAAGGCTGATAAGGAACCAAAGACTTCTGTTTGTTTTTGATTTCTGATGTGTTTTGCCTTTAGTTCATTGTAAAAGGTATTCTTCTATATCGGCTGGTATCCGAGGTCATTTACGCGTTTATTACTCCCCCTCCCCCTCCCACCCTCACTACGATTCTGAACAAAAGTCGCGCCGGGGAGCATCACGCAGAAGAGGTTCATGAGCGAAAACTTTTTATCCATCATTCTTTCAGTATATGCGATGCAGACTTCACATTTTGATGTTTCGTTGGATGACACGGAGCAGGCTGACAAAAACAAGTGATAAGTGCAGTGATAAGGAGACCGACCACTGGAAAATAAAGATCGGAGGTATGTTCACTCCTGGCTATTAGATTATGACGAGAATGACCCGCAAGACGCGCCGCTCAATAAGGGCCAAGTATACCTCAATCCGATATCGGTTGCAACAAATCTACCCGACCATCCCAGGGTGGAAACCTCGGCCAATGTTTCATGTACATGAAGATAAGAAGGGTTGTGGATGTGGTGATATGGTGTTTCGGCAGTGTTTTAATCATCAACACCAGCAAGGATCATTGAAGACCTTAGATGATCGACGACGTTGTTATGTTGAGAAAGTTGGCGCGCTAGTAGACGCTATGACGGAGAGGAGTAGATTCCTAATGAATGGTTATTGTTTAGAACAAGGGGATCTTTTGGGTGTAGAGATAAGCGAATGCAACCCATATAAAGCTGTAGTACTTGCGTAATTGGGGTGATTCTTTTCAAAAAATCTGTGGTCAGAAATGAATTACTTGTTCTTAAAAGACGTATGGAGGATTTAGTTTGCAATCTAACCCTGAAACAAGGGAAGCCGGGCAATCCTACTCGACTAGCTTTTACATATATGAGTAAGTGAAACACAGGAAGGTCCTGCTCTAGGTAAGAAGTATTATTTGAGTAGTTATGAACTTCACTTGCCATAAAATCCTGGTGACAGTTCCTTCGGGGATATGGCAAGGAACAACTCATCGATCATGCGTCGACAAGTCTGAACATCAACAGGGTAGTCTACCATTAGACAACAGACGAATGGAAGGTTTCATTTAAAGTGAGAACTACCGGATGATCACTCTGCTATTTAAAGACCGAATGATTCCTTGATAACGTGATGCAAACCCAACTGCTTTGTTTTGTTCGGCTTTCTGAATATTGCCCTAAAAAAACTATTGACTAGGAGAGACACAGCAGATGAGGCTGAATCCGGCAGCAAATCTCCACAGTTCAAAGGATATCCTTCCGGCGTTTTCTCAAAATATCAAACAAGCGACATCTGAGGATGGGGAAAGATGTACTTCTAAGTGGCGCAGGTCACGCACACGTGTTACATGCTCGGCTTTAGTACAAAAACCAGAACCGACGCAAGCTTTAGCCACGAAGCTTTTAGCCCTACGATTTATACCAACTGGAACCAGACTCTTTTGTACAACTTAATGTTTTTTTTNTTTTTTTTAATCTCAGGGGATTTTGGCACCACTAAGACGACCCGGTTGGCTCGGTTGGTCTAGGCTTATACATATTAATCCGGGTTTCGATGCCCGGATCATGCGAGTGTGATACTACGCTCCTTGCTACTGAACCGTGCAACCTTTCCCGATAGAACGCGAGGATGAGATGAAGGCTGACTCATGTCAAGTCTTCATGCAAGGTATCGAGTGAGACTTTGCGGATGACACGAACAAATCGTGTCATACGACAAAGCCTACAAATCTGTCAAAAGCCTTTGATCCCCGACACAAACAAAACCTATCTGTGTTCTGATTTTCCGCTGAAGAATGTCATGAGATGTGAGGAGTGCTTCCGAAACTTTGTGTTCAAGATGACGAAATCATGCGAATTGACGTGTCCAAGCATTCGCTCACAACAATGTGGTCTCCAGCTGTCTCAGCGAGCCAAGACCTGAGCCTATTCCTCAATCGTCCAGAGCAACCAGTCCACGGAGCCTATTCAGAGGTATCGGGATACGGTTGGCGTTGAAAACAACTACAATCTTCATCAGATGTTCCCCCAAAAAGTTCGAAGTGTATGTAGAGGATCGTATGCAGCAGTGTATGTAGAGCATTGATGATTTTCGGGAACGACAAAAGCGGAGTAATTCCTATCAATGCATGTGGAACGCGCTGCTTATCGTGATTTCCATCCATTTCTGAGAAAAAAACTTTCTGTTACTTTCAACTCATGCAGACCATGCTCGAAAAGATAGTAGACTATCTCAATTCTCGGAGCTCACTATCAATTCATCAGGCTTCGTATGAATTCATTTATTCATTTATTTCGGACACTCACAGAGTGCGTAAAGTAAAAACAATGTACCAATATTACTCGGAGAAGTGAAAAGTACTATACAGACAGGTAGATTAAATACACCAAAATGCTAAAGTGAAAGTAGACAGGTAGTCATTCCTTCTATTCCCTATATACAGTGACACTACAAGAAATGACCAACCTTGCCTGACATTAAGAAAGTCAGGAAGTTATGAATACAGCCACTCAATACTGAATGTAAAGCTACACACTATACTGCATGGGTTAGCAAGAACAAATTCCTAGAATGGATGCTATGTTCAATAAGATGTTCATGAGATTACTACTCAGTTAAAGCTAGACGGAGGGCTACTTTTCTGGTTTTGTCACCAGAGCTCATTCTAATTACAATCAGACGGCGACTGCTAGTAAAGAAGTCATCACATTTGCTCAGAAGAGGAAATCTGAAAAAAGGTATTGCATCGGTGTTCCAAAGAGAAGTTCAACATTAGAAGCCTTCTTCGAAAGACACTTCTTCAAATTGAGTGGGTTCCTTAGACATTAAGAACTACCGATTCTTACACTTTATACACTCCCAAAACAATACTTTCGATCAGCTTATATTTCGCTCAAGGTCCATAACAAATTGTCCCTGTAGAAAAAATTGCATGAGCAGCGGAAGTGCCAATCTGAGGACGCTAACGGCCGGAGTAGGTGAGATATGCTGTTATACTCTGGAACAAAGTTCCATCGCGGTTAGAAACGTTTCTACTCGAGTTCCTTCCATGATACCTCACCTATGACAATTCGCCTCTCCACTCCCGCTTCTTTGAGTCAAACTACATAATTGCCCCCCTGGTGACAATGGAGGAAAACACTGGGGATTTCCCAGCCCTAAGGGCAATATCTACATAGGACCTGTCCTTTCTCACACAGAGTCTTGGGATTTGAAAGTTGAAACAAGTGTATAGGGAACACTGATATCGAATTGTGACCAGGACATCTTTTAGCTCTGAAAGCACATGTTGTGGGCGATTCTTTGATTTTGCGTGGCAGGAGAGACTGCTAAAGTCGTTTTTCTGCGAAATACCTCTTTTGATTAGGTTCTTACAACGTTTATACAAGAAAAACTTACAAGCAACTTAGTCGCTAATGTCTTCTCCGGCGGCCTGTGCCTTATGCTTGAGGTCGGAAGCAGTGTCGCCTTAAAACACAAAAATCAGAAATGAAAATGGAAAGAAGCACAGAAACCTTACCGATATGTTGTCCAGCTCGAGAAGCTCCATGGCGCATTTTGGACGCTGCGTCACCTGAATCACGTTGCCTTTAGTACAAAAATTTGTCCAAGCGATGAGGAAGCTGTCACAATACAAATCAATGCTCCCTTCCCTTGCCTACCGTTTACTTGAACAATAATACTCAAGAAGAACAAGAATCATTCCGATTTCAACGAGGCAGTTGCCGAATCAGGCTTTTTCAATACCAAACTCGATCACCCCCTCCTTCAGGACTTGAGGAATGCATGCTACGCAAAGTCACGCCGTCCCCTTATAAATGACCGGCAAACTAAGGAAAAACGGTAAGTAAACCAACCGGCTGCATCGGAAGCTGCTGATGCTCCCTCTTTTGCGTCTTCTTTGGCTCCGCCTAAATTAAAAAAGCATAAGAGGAGCGGGTACAGTTTTCGTATAGAGGCAGTATCGATTGTTAGGTAATAGCTTTATGCGTGAATTGAATAACTGCCCGTAAAGTCACTTAACACTTCCTAATGTGTTCTAAATATTTCATGGACGGGGACGATAAAGCCGATCATCCAGCAAACACCCAAAAAGGCGGCTTTGTAAGGCTATTTCTTCATCGACGCGCACCATGTCAACCCCGAAACATGGGGGACATTTACTATTGGAATCCCCGATCTTTGTGGTGGTCTTTCACGACGCTGAGCTTTCATTAACTGTGGGTAGAATAATCATATCAGATTGTGACACAAAAGGTTAGAAAAGATCAAATTGAACTTTCTGAAGCAGTTCCATCCCACATTTGAAATCTCATCAAATTGTCCATGTATGAATTTTGTTCGAATTTCGAACCAAACTGCCGTGAGGTTTAAATTTGTCTTATCCTCTGTGTTCACGAACGCTCACTACTACAAAGGGAACAAGAATTTTTGAGAACACTAATTTCTAAGAAGCATCATCCTGTCACTGTGTTCTCTCTTTGTTTGAGAATAACTCACTTGGGTTGAGGATGTCATGGTCAGACGTTTTAACTCGAAGACTATATGATCTCTAAATTTTTCTCTTTGTCATTGTCGCCTACCTACATAAATGCGGTAATAATGAAATTGCCCTTATTGTTGTTGGACAGAAAACGTACTTGCTGCATTGGAAATGCTTTCTCCAATCGACGATAGGCCCTCTTTCACGCTGTCGACTGCCGATCCTAAAGTTAGAAAGCATCAGAACAAGATCAGGCAAAAATCGGTAAATGGGCAATGGATATGGTAGGAAAGGGAGCATCAGTAGAGTAGCAAAACTGAGTGCAGGCTGATTGAATATATAAGACATACAAGTCATTGTTTGATGAATGTCACACACAGACATTGGGGACCTGTTGGGGTTCAACGGGAATTCGGTTCACCAAAAGGGTGGAAGTTAGATACACAAGAACACCAAGGCTTCGTTTACAGATTTGACTTTGGTCCTTGATGGAGAAATGTCGACGAAGCAAAATTCCGAAACTCACCTAGCCAACCTTTCGCTTTCCCAGCAGCTTCATCTGCATCTTCTTTTGCTTCTTGAGCTCGCTCAGCTGAAAAGTATTGAATATTTCGGAATCAACTTCGAGGTTCGGATCTAGGAAGAAGGTACAGAGGGCTTTCAAAGTATTTTTAATCATTTTTCTGATATTCTTCATCTAGGTCGAGTTTACTCAGAAAAAGAATGAGGCATCATTGGCTACTGTTTCAAAAGAAAGAGGGAGAAACTCGAAAATACGGTGGGACCATTAAATACTCACAAGCTGCTTCCTTAGCTTCGTGGGCGGCATCACCGGCTTTCTCAATAGCAACTTCAGCTCTGTCAGCTAAAAATTAGAAAATCAAATTTCTTGAAAGGTATCTATGTACTAATAGATCTGATTAATATCTGAGTAATAGATTTGAACGATATATTCTATTACAATTACCTGGATCGGCCATGGCTCGAGTTAGGATGGTTCCAGCACAAAGGAGGAAAAAGAACCAAGAGTTACGAAGAACAGTCATTTTCAGTGGATTCGTTAACAGAGTGAGAGAGAAAAATTGTTCGGTTGAGAAAAAAACTCGGAGCTCTCTATATATACCCCTTTTAGTGTGATTGTTGACACGATCGGAAACAGCTGTGCTGCTCTGCTGGATGCATAAACAACACACAAGTGACCAAGGTCGGCAACAACAAGGGAGAGCCTGCTGATGATCTTTGATGCTCGGAACAGTTGGCCAACTTTCAAAAGTCGTGTTACGAATGTGTGATACGAAATCCGACGCTATACGTATCTCCCAGAAAACGCTACATTCCTCTTTGGACGAATGGCCTTTCACTGATCATACGTTCCGTAGTGTTCCATTGCTGTCCCTAGGTAAGGGTTATCATTATTCCCAGTACTGGAGGAGAGCTTAGAAAGCAATCCGAAACTGCCCCACCCATTTTAGATCGCTTTCTTTCTTTTGCCTTTTGAACCCCCAAAGCCAGATTCATTAATGAAATCTCATGGGAAGGGCATTGAATTGCTTCCAAATGTCCCAACGTGGAAAAGAGTTTTGAAAACTCTTATCTTTTTTATGGAGGATGAAGCAGAAGTTGATGATGAGAATGTTGATGATGCTGCTCATGTGGCTCAAGAAGCAGTTTATGAGAATTCAGCAAGCCTCACCCTATTCTCACGACACAACCGAGTATACTATAAAGGTTTTGTGGGCCTCCCCAGTGCTGACATGGGTTTTCTCTTGGCTTCACAAACATTTTGTGAGCTGAACGAATTCTTGCTTCCCTCTCATGTAGCCTGAATTCCCTGGGATATAATTTGAACGATTGTAAACTATCCCTTAGTAATCATATAGCGAGTTTCTGCAGAATGATTGTTTCTACTGCGAGACTCCTAAATTTATCGACAAGCTGCCCATAGCCGACTTCCTTCAAAACCCGACGTTCAATAAGCTGCTCACAAGGAAGAAATTGCTGATTCATTCCTCCCGCGGCAGACATCGTTGCTCAACTGCGCAACGTCTAGTGATTTGCACAACAAGGAGGGATTAAGAATCGTGCGATCAGGCATCAGACAACGCTAGAGCTGTAAACAACTTCTAGTATGCTGGAAATAAATTGCAGGGCTATGCAAATCGCTCCGGGAGTTTCGAAGGAAAAGCTCGTAAAACGACTGTGCTTAAAGCGAATATCATGAGTAAGCATCTGCAGCTACTAGTGGCTATTCACAAAATCCAAAAATGTCTTTCCTTGAGCCCAAAACAATACGAAGCTGCAGATGCTTCCACATCATATTCGCTTAAAGCACAGACATTTTGTGAGCTTTTCCTTCGAAACTCCAGAAGCGATTTGCATAGCCTTTATTCCACAACTCGGAATAATTTTCTCTTTCCCGCTAAACTGATCTACCTTCTTAGTTTCCAGCGTCAGAGGGGATAATGGAGGAGCAGCAATACTTGTTAAAAAAATACAAGTTGTGGAAACTTCGATACACATAAGGAGAGGAAAACAATCAGATCAACTCTCATTCGATATCGTTCTGGGGAATTGAATGCGTATTTGACATGTACAATAAATTGCAGTGCCGATTTTTATGTTAGTGTTCTAACCCCCACCGAGACACCCTGATACCATTAGCTAACCCGGAAAGGATGGAATATCTGGTTTTGCTAGGCGACTACCGATAGGGGACTCGATTCCTGCATCATGTTTGTGCGATAGTGCTCCACTTCCCACTACACCTCTATTTCCTAGAAAAAGAAAAATGTCGGCCCAAGGAGAAAAATGGAACTCGTTGTCTCTTTTTGAGCTGTAAAAATGGAAATACAGAAGTGTGAATGTCGATGAAGAATAGGTAGCTTGGCAAGTACTACATAGCTAGCTTAGGATGTACGCTGCTGCTTTCTCGCAGTCCGCCTAAGCTTGATTTCTCTCGCAGGTAAACTATGACCCTTTTCTCACGGCATTAAATTCGATGGAAAAACTCTAGGGGATTTCGATGACCTCTAGGAACTCAAATTTGTCAGATACGCTTTCTGGCCAGCAGGATCACCAACCCGGACAACCTTTCAAGAGACCAATCCCATCACTTTACAGCCTCATCAACTGTTGTGACTGTGCCTCCGGTGATCTAATCTTAAAAAAGCAACGCTGAACTGGCTTATCTGCCAGCTGTTGATTTATCATATGATGTTTATTAGACGATCATTAGGGAAGTTATTTTTGCATTATCATGAGTGAGGTTCGAGTTTCCAAACACATGTCAGGAAACCAATGTTCACGTGACTATGCAGCGAATCATTTGGCAAAATGATCCATCGACAGACATCAATGATCAAACAGAATGATCCTCAGCAGATCGCCAGTGAATTACAACAAAAACTGATCGCTTCCAGCTACATTTATCCTCTCGGGCCGACCAAAGTCTCATAGTGATTTCTTGCGTAACATTTGAAATCCCCCTAATTTCCAAGGAAATAGCCAAGTCAAAGAGAAGCTATAAGGATTGATGCAGTTCTGCCGCATTTCTTGAAAGAGACCCAGCTCCATTCCAAGAGGGTTGAAGAAAGGAGTCTAAACGAGTTAAGCTCGTCCACAACTCGACCTAGTAGGCTTCGCTGAACAGCGTTATATGTTTTCTCGTCAGCAGTTCGACTATTACCTGTCTTATGTGTCTCTCAAGGTTCCCCACAAAATGTAAACTGGCTATGGAATGATAAGATGATTTTCTGGCATTGACCAATCCGTTCTGAAGCGTCTACAAGATCGACTTTTGATCAAAATGGAAATGCATGTTTGCTGTATACAATGAGATGAGACCCGTCGATGTGCCAGTTGACGTTTCAATCCGGAATCCTTCTCCAAAACACATGACCGGTAGCACCAGACTGTGTACAGCATAAGACTACTCAAAACTCGTTTCAGCGAGAGTCAATATTGAGTGTTTGACAGAAACTCATGTGGTCTTTCTCAGTAAAGGGAGACTTGATTGTTGGGGAACGTCTGTTTTTTGCGATGTGATACCCTTAGGCACTGTTTCGTGAAAAGTATACAACTGCTAGCCCTGAAGCCTCTGTGTTTGACCACTTTTATATTTTCTGCTAGAATGCTAAAAATTGAGAAATCGCAAAGGGATTGTTTGCTTTATTAAAATTAATGTGCTTTCGGATAGCTTTTCTCCGTTGTCAAAACTACTTGGAATACAGTTGCTTAAGTACCATACTTGACGGCAACAGACATGAAGGTTGCGTACGAGCGCATTTAACGTAATAGTGCCATTCAACTTAGGGTTGCTTTAGAGCAATCAAGAGCTTTGGAGGCTATTCAAGCTTTGTTTTCGAGCTTACTCAGCATTAACTAACAATGAGTTCTACCACTGATATACCGAATATGAATACGCACAATCTTCACCAGCGACCAAGCCCTTCTCCAAAAGTAAGCCAACAAAGACAAGAGCATTCTCATGAGTGATTTTCACCGTCGAGTCAGGACCATTTGCAAGTGAGTATAGAATTTTCCCAAACAGTTGTCTCTCTCATTCTTCGTCATGTACATATGCCAATCCCATGAATTGCACGTTGCCCTCGTAGACTTAGAGACTAGAGAAGAACAAAAGGTTGAAGACATAGTAACGGTGCACGGTTACGATCTACGCACTCCCTCGTCACCTCACTGCCTGAGAAGTCCCCCTAACTCAACCCCCATACGCATGTGAATGAGAAAGTTTCTATTATCCCGTACAGAACAAGAAACAAGCGCTCCTCCTCTATTTAATCATGAAGGATATTTAACGGTATGATGATTTCTTCTCGAGATACCGTTCGCACTTACCGACTGTACTCCTCCCTCGACAGGGTCTCCACTGTACCATCCCCCACAATTCTGGTACATTGCCTGGTATAAGATGATTAATATAGGACAATATGAGCAGTTTTGCGAATATGTGCAAATATTTATGTTGATGTGCTGACTTGCATTCTTTCTGCATTTTATTCTCTGGAAGGTAAGCACGGTATCGGAAGTTTGATCAGCACCATTGGTTTTTCGAAACCTCAGGTCTAGCATTTACGAGATTATAAGTTAAGATTCTCACTTATGGCATGGCGATAATACGTGTGTCTAGGACGGTTACGCCAGCTCCTCCTTCTACTTTTCAGATTTTCAAAGCAACTTACTTCTATACCCTGCAGCATTACTCTGCAACTAATAGTATGACACCCAAAAGAAAAGATTGTCCCCTTACGGTATTATACCATACAAAAATTCGGAACTTCCAGTATTGGATCACCGTTCCTTTAAGAAAAAAATTAGAAAAAAAATGTCTTACAACATAATTATTCAATTGCGATAGCTGCCATTCCGCTGACGGCATTATTGTGCATCAAAAGTCTGAAATTGTAGAGCGCAATCGGAGTGAACTTCTCCAATATGAACATCATGAACCAACTTTTTTTATTCAAAAATATCATAAAAAGCTGCTCATCAGAGCTACGACACGGACCGCAGAGTACGATGCAACGAACAATTATGTCTAAATATCTACAAGTATTCAGAACTCTAATAGTCACATCTATTTCATCACATTACAACAAATATTAGTCACCCACAAAAAAATATTCTGAGTTGTGCATCAATTACGCACTGCTGAGAAACCAGGACGGTCACTTTAGCTCGCGCGACTTCCAGAACGATTACGGCTATTGCTTGCTACNGTGACAACTGATGTTAACAGTAAGGACTTAATAAGTAAAAAGGAAGACGTGGGTCTTGAATTTTGGCTGTTCCACAACATATTCAAACTTTTCAGCGATTGGCTTATTCGGATAAATAAATTTTTGTTTTCTATGCGTTTTGTGTGACGACAAATAGTTTTTTTTTTTTGAAAAAAACGAACCAGAGCTGAGTTGCCAGGCGATCTGTCCGGTAAGGACCACCCATTTGGAAGGTGTAAAATACTGCATATAAACATAGACATAGGCAGCCAACACATTAATCAAACAGATCAGGAATGACTGGATGAATATCTGAACGCAGCAGATTACATGAAAGGTACGAAAAAACAAAGGAAGACGGGTAGTGTCGGAAGCAATGACAATCTCCTTGCAGAGTTCCTCGATCAGCAAGCAAACCACCGTTTTCTTGATAGTATCTTGGAGCATTTTTTCGTGACCAGGGTATTTTTTGCTATAGGTACTGGTGTGATGTGATGTGGGTCTGCTGTGCTATCCACACCCCATTCGATGGCGTTACTCATTCACCTTATTAACTTTACCTCTACTGATAGACTTTCAATGTTACCAATATAGCAATGGCATGTTTGTTAATGAATATGTCGTGCTATTCCGTTCGGAGGCAGGACTGCCGGAGTAGGTGTTTTCGTCGGACTCCGGACCCTGACAGAGCCGCTTCTAAACCGGCTCCCTCTAAAATAACCCCCAATGAACAAATTTATAGCAGCGCCCATCAATAAATTCAGTTGCCATGACTATTTCTTAGTAATATAAGTGCAAACACGTCACTTGACTAATAGGATAAAGTCTTAGGCCGTTAATTGATCCCGTCTAAAGGATGCGACCACGTATTCGACTTCCATTCAAAATCGTAGTTGCGTATTGAGCGGGTATCTGGCCTATGCAATGACTTGAGGTGGCCAGCCGATGTACAAGTCAGTGCTTTTATCCTCCCAGGCGAGTCTGGTATCACTTAATCGACCCGAGAGGGATGAAAGGCTTGGTTACCTCAGGCGGATACCGATCCTCGATTCGAATCCTAGACCGTTCGTGTGAGAGAGGGCACCACTTGCCACCACATCGGCTCCGCCCTCATCCTCTCGGTTAGTAAGTTGAAAGCTAGCATCCTAGGGCTATCAAATTTTGAGAATTCACGGATCTATGTTGAATTCTGGTTTTGCCGGTTGTTTCCACTCTTTCGATTTCCCACCAAATATGTACATCACAAAACTAATTCAAATCGGCTACTTTGAACACAATATTGAATTATGAGGTTTAAATGAGCTTTCAGTCCGGCAATCAAAGTACTATCGCATGGTATCCATTTACTATATGCAGAACAGGGGTGAAAGCAGGTTATAAGATCAATAAGTGGGAAAAGTTGAAGACATTTTTGTACTTTTTTTTTAACAGTAAATCACCTTTCTTTGGATATTGCCCATTTTGGTGGAGGCATTTCTGGTTTTAAAATATAGCTTTATGCATAGATAAATGTACAGTGATGTAGTAGAAACCGCAACAATAACGTTGTTCACAGCGTGGTAAATGTTGACATATCGCAATGACTGAAATTCATGCGTTTATTTGTGTGACCATACCAAAGGCAGCTCATCTGGGAGACACATACCTCTTGACCAGTCATTGGATTGAAAAACCATGAGACGTAATTCGAGTTGAACGACGCCGGTGTTGTAAATAGCATGATGAAGGCCAAATAGAGAACTGAGAGAATCATCAGGAAAAACACACGGTTCCCGTCGAAAAATGCCGTCAAAAAGCGATTTTCCGACAGATCGGCACAACGGTTCAGCGCCAGAAAAATGCATGTCAGACAGCTGGCACACCAACATGCTGAAATGGTCAACTCCTTTTGTCTACTCGATATCTTCTTCACCTAAATAAAGAGATTCGTCCCGTCCTTCTCTGTACTGGACCTTTTCCACTGTTTTCAATCCCGTTACTCAAAAATTGGGATGCTCCCGAGCATCGAACTCCTCTACTGTTCCGTTCCCCCTTCACTTTTGTAAAATTTGCAGTAAGGGGTCTACTGCGAAATATCAACTCACCACAACCGAAAGCTCCCAGAGTGAGAAGAGTTACGGGATTGGTACAGAACACAGCTCCTTGTATAGCGAAATAGCCAGTCATGATAGAGTTCACAAAAATCGAGAACATATCCAAGATTCCGAGAAAAAACATAATTTTGTAGCAGGACGTACTGAGCAGATTCTGCTTGTACATTGCCACTAAACATGGGCAGTAGATCATCTGAAAACCAGAAGTTAACAAAATTGTACTACTATTGTACTTGTTCCTTTGTTTAGAGCTTTCTCAACGTACACAGGACTCCCGCATAGAGCATCTGCTGATGAATCGTGCCCCACTGTGGTAATGTGGGTACTCAAACACCAGTTTTGGCTACATTCAGGAAGGTAAATGGTGCGTATTCTTTAATATTTTCTGACGAACAGTATCTAGTTTTTGAGTTTTGTCATCGTGTATACGGCTTTCATTCAAATCGTAGTGATGTTTGAATGTGAACCTGGCCTATACATTGGCCACAGAGAACAGTCAGTGTTTTTATTCTCCCACACAAATACGGTAACAAGTAAGCGACCCCGGAAGAAGGGAGGCTGGTCGATCTTGGCTCTCTCATACACACCTGGTTGCTTTTGGGATTCAACCCTCAAGCAGGTGTGTATGAGAGAGCCATATGTAGGCGCCACACCGGAGCAAAACGAGATCTTTGAAGATACTTTTCTGAATCGGTCCTCCGAATTGCCTAGTTAAGACTTTTTGAAAGGTCAATTTAGTACATACCGATGTCGGCAGCCTATCCTGAAGGATCAGAGGCGACCCCCAATTAATGCAAGTGCATTCCGCCCAGTACAATGCTCCCATTGTTGGCGCTGCTGCTCTTCCTTATTCAGGATGCTTCAATACTTACCTCCAGTAGTATTCCTGTTATCAAGAAGTACAATCCTATAGGCCACTTCACTGATCCGGTCGCGTACCATTCCTGTAGTGACTTCGTAGAACAGTCGTATAATGGAAGGTAGGGATGGCCATGCGTTAGAGTGTATACGTATGCCATCTGCAGGTCAATCGACATTTTGCCTGAAACCATAAGTTAAAGGGAACTTCCCAATTACAAACGAACATGCTGCAGGAGATCGTGGATTCAGGAAGTAGACATTGTTGCGACAAACACAAAGAGGTGAAAATATGGTATGACAACGGTATGGCATTTCTAATCAGTGGGTCCGTCTAATTAATAGGTCTGGATGCACACAATACTGTATCCACCCAGTGTAGAATTAGCACGCCATAGTTTGTTGGGAATTACTGCTTAACTATGTATAATTTTCATTTATTCAACGTTATAATAATGGGAGACATTACAAGAGGAAGCAACCACAATCTGAGTTTTTCATGGGTGTGCTCAAAAGTTCACATTGACTGACTAACCATGTCTCTGTGAAAGTTAATTCTTCAATTCTTAGAAACCCAATTTATTTTGTAACCCTTTTCATGGGAAAAGTGATTCGTCGGCCACTGTTGTTTGATCATTTTGAGAGCCAAAGAATTCACACGATTTCCATTGTAAAAGGATAAGGATGGCGTCTTAAACGTAGACATCCCGCCAGAGAAATGCGCCCACGCATTCGACTTCCATTCAGAATTGTGGTGACGTATTGAATGCGTATGTGGCCTATTCAATGACTTGCGGTGGCCAGCCGATGTACAAGTCTGTGCTTTTATCCTCCCAGGCGAGTCTGGTACCACTTAGTCGCCCGGAGAGGGATGGAAGGCATGGTTGGCTAGGCGGATATCGCTCCGGGATTCATACCTGGGACCATGCGGGTGAGAAGTGCCTCCCTGCCACTACAACACCTACGCCAGTTCAACTTTGTCTGTCTTACCATTAGGCGCATGTTAGTGCGTCATAAGTTGGCACTTCTTCACCTACGTAAGTTTAACTACCTTAACTACCATCGAAGAGACCAAATAGCACTTTCATATGGATTATATGGTGCTAAAGCTGGGTGGTAGCCATTAAGCTGTAGCTAGGTAGCTGTTTCTGGTATTGTGGATACGAACTTACCATTAGTCAGAAGTATGGCAGCAGCAGCACTTCTTAGGAAATGAAAAAAACCAAAGCAGTAAGCAATACAACAACAATTGTTTTGGCAAGTCCTAGAACCGAGGCCAGGTCGCAGGTAGGAACTTTTGCTTTAGAGGAATCGCATGTGTAGTTGGTTCACATATGGAGCTATGATTTCTCGAACTTCTCTTAACACACCCACAAGAATGGGATAAACATAGTCCAAGAATCACACGCCTGTTTATCTAAGACCAAGGTTTTTTCACATACCATAATTTGTAAAACTAATAATGTGTATCAAAGGTCGTGGAAAGGTCTAGAAGGCGTCGTCTAGGCACAATCAGAGATTCGGGTAAGTATGTACCAGTAAGGAATTTGAGTCATATTCCGTGACCGTGGGAAACCGAGATCCAAACAGGAATTAATGAGTTTTCTGTAACTCTTCCCAAGGTTTCGCTTTGTTAGACTTACGTTTTTGGAAAATCGCCTCCTTCAGATCCTGGAAGGACCTTAGCACTGCTGCTTCGAATCTCGAGATCCTCAAGGCATGCACATGATTTGAAAGAGGGTAGCTTTGTGCATTCTCCGAAATCACATAGCACTCGATGTAGCACTGGATTATTGTCAGCTGGGGTAGGTCTTCCTTCAGAACCACTGCGGGAAAGAAAAACATTATGTAAGGCCAGGTTTTGAACAGAATTGGCACTTTGCCAGTACTTCCCTAATCTTGTTTTCCCCTTTGTCACGGCCGAGCATGACTTGGGTGGATATCATGATCCTGAATTCTGCCTATCACAACGAAGATAAGTCAATCTATCGAAAATTCACTAAAGCGTGAGCTGCGTGTCCTCTGGCTCAATGCTCAGAGATGGAATGCTAAAACCATAGGTGCGATTGCGTGGAGCGAATTAGCACTCTTCTTTGCTCAGAAGTCTGGACAAAGTGAGCTCAGTCGACGAGAACAAACGGATCATTCTTGATGTTTATGACGCT